GCCCCGGGGAGGGGACGCGCTGGTCCTCCCCCCCTCCCCGCTCCCTCCCTCCGTCCTCCCCTCCCTCCTCCCTCCTCCATCCCCCATCCCTCCCCCATCCCTCCATCCCCGCTCCCTCCCGGAGCTATTTTTAGATCAATCTCCAGCATCGATCAAGGAGCGCGGCGCGATCCGGGGGCAGCCGGGACGGGGCCGCCACCGGCACCGGGCACGGGGCACCGGCAGCGGCGGCGGGGGCTGCCGGACCTGCGGGGTGGACACGGGGGGGGACAAGGTCCTTCGGGAGGGTGGGGCTGGAGGGATTTGGGGTGACCCCGCAGGACACAGGGACACCGCGGTGTCACCAGGGGAGGGGTGGCACGGCCGAGCCCCCATCACTGCGAGGGGCACCTCAGGAAGAGGAGCAGGGAGGGGACACCGGCAGTGTCACCTGCTGCCACCGCACGGGGCCGCGGTCACCCCCACCCCAGGACCCCGAGAGGCGCTGGGTGAGACCCCCGGGAGGGGAAACTGAGGCAGGGCAGGGCAGGGGGTGCCGGGGCTAGGCAGTGCCTGAGCCCCCGAGCCCGGCTGTGACGGGGACGGGGCTGGGGGTGCCCCTTGCTGGGTGCTGGGGGGCTCGTGCTCACCCCCCCCGCTCTCCCCCTCCCTCCTGGGGACCCCCAAACTCTCCCCTTCCCTCCTGGGGACCCCCAAACTCTCCCCCTCCCTCCTGGGGACCCCCTGCTGCTGCCACCGTGCGGGGTCGTGGCCCCAGATGGGCACATCCAGTGACAGTTCAGTGACAGTGCCACCCTCGCCCCCGCTCCGCTGGCACCGGCGGGGTCCTGGCCCCCCACCCCCAGCTGGGGGGATACAGTAGGGACCCCCCTTCTTCTCCTCACCCCCTCAAGCCCCCGAGGACCATGAGGGGCCGAGGGGTCCCCCAGACCCCCCCTGTCCCCTGCCGCCCCCGGGGAGGTGGCACGGGGGGCTGGGGGTGCCCGGGGGTCCCCGGCCGTGGCCCCGCGGGGTCCCCCCGTGCCCGGGGCCGTTCTGGGACCGGCCCTGAAGGGAGCAGGGGCTGGGCAAGGGCTGGAGGGGCCGGGGGGTCCCGGGGTGGCCCCGGTGGCGTCGCGCGGAGCGGGCACATGGCCCTGGCACTGTCACCCCCCGCCCCACGGCCCCGCGGGGCTCCGGGGACAGCGGCGGCCGCCCCGCGCGGGTGGCCCCGGGGACCGGGGGGCTGCAGCCTCCTGGCTCCGGCGGCTCCGAGCGGCCACGCCCCGGCCACGCCCCGGCCACGCCCCTGCCACGCCCCGGCCACGCCCCGCCGAGGCCACGCCTCGCCCCGGGCCCCGCGCGTGGGACAAGGGGATGGACAACGGGACACGGGGACACGGCTTGGGACACCGGGATGGACACGGGGACAGACAGGGACAGACACAGGGACAGACACGGGGACACGGGAACGGACACAGGGACACAGGGACGGACACAGGGACGGACACGGGGACAGACACGGGGACAGACACAGGGACACAGAGACGGACACAGGGACAGACACAGGGACACGGGAACGGACACAGGGACACGGGGTCAGACACCGGGACACGGGGACACACACAGGGACGGACACAGGGAGAAACACGGGGACAGACACAGGGACACAGGGACGGACACAGGGACATGAGGAGGGACACACGGACAGAGTCGGGAGAGTGGGACAGAGTCTGGGACGCACGGACAGACACAGGGACACGGGGACAGGGACAGGGACACGGGGACATGGACACAGTCTGGGACAGGGACACGGGGACAGGGATGGGGACAGGGACAGGGACACAGGGACAGGGACACAGGGACAGGGACATGGACACGGGGACAGGGACATGGACGCGGGGACAGGGATGAGGACAGGGATGGGGACAGGGACACGGGGACAGGGACAGGGACACGAGGACAGGGATTGGACAAGGACTGGGACAGTCAGGGTGGGGCAGTCCCACCATCGAGCCCCCCCGGCTCCAGGACAAGGGGACAAGGCCAGCGCTTGGGGACTGTCCCAGCAGAGCCCGGACCCGCAGGGGACACCCCCAAAAAAACCCTAAAACGGCCGAGTTAGGACTGGGGGGGGGGCTGGGGGTGTCCCCAGTGCTCTGTCCTGGGTGTGCTGCGTCCCCAAAGCCCCATGTCCCCCCCAGGTGACACCCCCAGGGGTGTGGGGGGGTTCCAGGCCGGGGGGGTCCGGAGCCGGGCGCAGTCCCCCCTGCTCTTCCCGAGGGAATGGGGGAGTGGGGGGGTGGGAATGGGATGAGGGGATACTGGGGGGGCTGTGCTGAACTGGGAGCCCCCCCGGCACCAGCGAGTGTCACTGGCCACCAGCCTGGTGGCACTGCGGGTGCCCTGGCCGTGCTTGGGTGACATCCTGGGGACATCCTGGGGGCATCCTTGGGGACATCCTGGGGGTATCCTTGGGGACATCCCGGGGGCATCCTTGGGGACATCCTGGGGGTATCCTTGGGGACCCCCTTGGGGACATCCTGGGGACATCCTGGGGGTATCCTTGGGGACATCCTGGGGGCATCCTTGGGGACAACCTGGGGACTTTCTTGGGGACCCCCTTGGGGACAGCCGTGAGCGGGATGTGACAGGGGGGGCAGGACGGGGCCGGAGGGATCTGTCCAGGCTGGTGTCTGTCCTTCCTGGGGACGTGTCCGTCCTTCCCGGGGGATCTGTCCATCCTTCCCAGGAATATTCCTGTCCTTCCCAGCGCTCTTCCAATCCTTCTCAGGAATATTCCCATCCTCCCCAGGGCTCTTTCCATTTTTCCAGGGCTCTTCCCATCCTTCCCAGGAATACTCCCGTCCTCCCCGGGGGTATTCCCATCCTTCCAGCGGGTATTCCCGTCCTCCCGGGGGTGTTCCCGTCCTCCCCAGGAATATTTCCATCTTCCCAGGGGATGTTCCCCTCCTCCCGGGGGTATTCCCATCCTTCCCGGGGTGTCCCGTCCTCCCCAGGAATATTTCCATCTTCCCAGGGGATGTTCCCCTCCTCCCGGAGGTATTCCCATCCTTCCCGGGGGTGTTCCCTTTTTTCCCGGGGATATTCCCGTCCTTCGCGGGGGTATTCCCGTCCTGCCGGGGGTATTCCCGTTCTCCCCGGGGGTATTCCCGCCCTCCTGGGGATATTCCCGTCCTGCCGGGGGTGTTCCCGTCCTCCCCGGTCCCTGCCCCCCCGGCCGGGCCCGGCTGAAGGAACGCTTAATTCGGGGCTTTATCCACAAACACTCCCGGGCTAAAAATACCCGGCGGAGCGGGAGCGGCGCTGCCGCCCGGAGCTGCTTTGCCTTTTTTGACGGGATCCCGGCCGGGGCAGCGCCCGGGGCTGCGGCCACTGTCACCGCTGAGCCTCGGGGACACGGCCCTGGGGACAGAGGTCCGGGGGTGCCCGGATCCTGGGGATTCCAGATCCGGGGGATTCCAGATCCTGGGGATTCCAATTTCTGGGATTTCCAGATCCTGGAGATTCCAGATCCTGGGGATTCCAGATCCTGGGCATCCCCGATCCTGGGAATTCCAATTTCTGGGATTTCCAGACCCTGGGGATTCCAGATCCTGGGAATTCCAGTTGCTGGGATTTCCAGATCCTGGGGATTCCAGATCCTGGAGATTCCAGATCCTGGGCATCCCAGATCCTGGGAATTCCAATTGCTGGGATTTCCAGATTCTGGGGATTCCACCTCCTGGGGAATCCAATTCTTGGGGTCCCCAAACCCTAGGAATTCCTGCTCCTGGGGGATCCAGCTCCAGGGAATTGCAGCTCCTGAGAATTCCAGCTCCTGGGGTTCCAAACTCCTGGAGACTGCAGCTGCTGGAGATCCCAACTCCTGGAGATCCCAGCTCCTGGAGATCCCAGCTCGTGGAGATCCCAGCTCCTGGAGATCCCAACTCCTGGAGATCCCAGCTCCTGGAGATACCAGCTCCTGGAGATCCCAGCTCCTGGAGATCCCAGCTCCTGGAGATCCCAGCTCCTTGGGGACCTGTCGGAATGGATGAGGGTCCAGGGGTGTCACCTCGGTGGCCGTGAGGTGAGTGCTGTCCCCACGCTGGGGATGTCCCTGTCACCCTGTGCTGTCCCCATGTCCCTGTCACCCTGTGCTGTCCCCCTGGCATAGAGGTGCCATCCCAGCTTGGAAAACTGCCAGGGAAAACCCCTCCTTGTCACCCCCCAAACCCAGGGTGGCCTCGCCATCACCCGCTTCCCTTGGGAAGGTCGGGGACCCTTAGGGAAGTTTGGGGACACCTTGGGAAGCTTTGGGACACCTCAGGAAGGTTGGAGACCCTTTAGGAAATTTTGGGGACACTTTGGGACAATCTGAGACCCTTTGGGAAGGTTTGGGACACCTTGGGAGGGTTGGGGACCCTTTAGGAAAGTTTGGGGACACTTTGGGACAATCTGAGACCCTTTGGGAAGGTTTGGGACACCTTGGGAGGGTTGGGGACCCTTTAGGAAAGTTTGGGGACACTTTGGGACAATCTGAGACCCTTTGGGAAGGTTTGGGACACCTTGGGAGGGTTGGGGACCCTTTAGGAAAGTTTGGGGACACTTTGGGACAATCTGAGACCCTTTGGGAAGGTTTGGGACACCTTGGGAGGGTTGGGGACCCTTTAGGAAAGCCACGCTGGGGATGTCCCTGTCACCCTGTGCTGTCCCCATGTCCCTGTCACCCTGTGCTGTCCCCATGTCCCTGTCACCCTGTGCTGTCCCCCTGGCATAGAGGTGCCATCCCAGCTTGGAAAACTGCCAGGGAAAACCCCTCCTTGTCACCCCCCAAACCCAGGGTGGCCTCGCCATCACCCGCTTCCCTTGGGAAGGTCGGGGACCCTTAGGGAAGTTTGGGGACACCTTGGGAAGCTTTGGGACACCTCAGGAAGGTTGGAGACCCTTTAGGAAATTTTGGGGACACTTTGGGACAATCCGAGACCCTTTGGGAAGGTTGAGAACGCCTTGGGAGGGTTGGGGACCCTTTGGGAAGGTTGGGGACACCTTGGGAGGGTTGGGGAACCTTTGGGAAGGTTTGGGACACCTTGGGAGGGTTGGGGACCCTTTGGGAAGATCAGAGACCCTTTGGGAAGGTTGGGGATGCCTCGGGAAGATCAGGGACCCTCTGGGAAGGTCAGAGACCCCTCGGGAGGTGGCAGGGGGTGCCCGGGCTGTCCCCAGCGCCCGCTGGCGTCGCACAGAGCTTTTCCCGCGGCGGTGGCGGATGTGGGGCGACGTTTGAGGTTTGGGCTGTTGTTTTTTTTTTTTTAATTTCCTCTTCCAAGCTGATGAGTTTCCTCCCGCTCCGCTGACGACGGATGGGGGCCGGGCGGGGCGCCGGGGGGGCAGGAGGCGGCTGCCCGCGGGCCCCGGCCGGGCAGAGGGGAGAGCTGCCCACCCACCCCCGGAGCTGGTCAGTGCCCAGGGACCCGGAATTGGGGATTTGGGGGTCTGGGACTGGGGATTTGGGGATTTGGGGATCCGGGATTGGGGATTTGGGGGTCTGGGACTGGGGATTTGGGAGGGTTTGGGATAGGGGGGCAGAGGGGGGAGCTGCCCACCCGCCCCCGGAGCCGGTCAGTGCCGAGGGATCTGGGATTTGGGGTTTGGGGTTTTGGAGATTTGGTGTTTTGGGGATGGGGGAAGTGGGGATGGAGGGAGGGGAGGGAGCTGGGGGTGGGCACGAAGGGACGGGGCCGTGGGGGTGATGGGGGCACCGAGAGAGGCGATTCCAGCGCCCAGGGCCGATGGGAAACCCAGCGGGAGGAGCAGGTGGGGTGAGGAGGAAGAGGAGGAGGAAGAGGATGAGCAGGATGGGCTGGGGGTCACGAGCCCTGGCGGAGACCCCCACCCAGATTCCCTGTGCCAGGCCCAAACGGGGGGGCCGGGAAGGGCACGGGGGAGGTCACGGCACCTCCTGGATCCCGGGGTCCCGGGGGGCCGGGCCGGGGGTCCCGGGGGTGTTCCCGGCCACGTGCCCCGGGGGATGGCGGTGGTCTCGATGAGGAGCCCCGGCAGCTCCGGCCCTGTCCCACTCTGCCCTCGGCGCCATCGGCACCCGGGAAAACATCTGGGAGGGGGCAAAGCACCCCCGGGATGCCCCGAACCCACCCTGAGCTGCCCCAAGCCCACCCGAGCTGCCCCGAGCCCACCCGAGCTGCCCCGAGCCCACCCGCGCTGCCCCAAGCCCACCCTGAGCTGCCCCGAGCCCACCCTTAGCTGCCCCGAGCCCACCCTGAGCTGCCCCTAGCTCACTCTGAGCTGCCCCGAGCCCACCCTGCCCATGCCCGTGGAACCCCCGGTGGCTCCCCCCACCCCCCGGTCCCTCACGTCCCTCCTGTCCCCCAGGGAGCCCCCCGGCCCCCCGGGCCATGGAGGGACCCCCGGTGCTCGGCCCCTCCTCGTGGCAGCGGCGCCGCGCGTGGGCCCGGCAGAGCCGGGGATGGAGCAGCCCCGAGGGCGAGCACGAGCAGGAGGAAGAGGAGGAAGAGGAGGAAGAGGAGGAAGAGGAGCAGGCGGCCGCTGTCCCCTGGGAGCCGCCACAGCCGGACCGCGCTGTCCGGGGCGGTCAGGGCCAGCCCGGGCCGCGGGAGGGACCCCCGGGCCGGGTCCCCTCACGGCCCCTGTGTCCCCCAGGAGCGCTCTGCGACAGCGTCCGGACCTGGCTGCGGGACTGCGGGTGAGGGGGGACACCCGGGGGCCACAGCCCCCTCCCAGGGGATTTGGGGAGGGGGCGAGGCTCTGGCTCGGCCGTTCCTGGAGGTGCACATGGCGGGGGCGGGGGGGACAGTGACGTGTGACACGTGTGACCCCCACGTGGCCACAGCGGGATGTCCCCAGGGCTGGGCTGGGCTGGTGGCACCTTCCCCCCGCGCCGCCCTGGGGGTCTCACGGGGGTCCCTGGGATTGGGGATGTGCCGAGGAGACACAAAAGCCAGCACAGCCGCCGTGTCCCCTCCTGTCCCCTGCGTGTCCCTGTCCCCAGCCCGCCGCGCTCTGCTGTCCTGTGCCACCTCCTGTCCCCGGGACGGGCTCGGGGCTTGGGTCGGGGTCGGGGTCGGGGTCGGGGCAGGGGTCGGGGCCGTGACGGGGCCGTTCTGTGGCACAGGGGGGCAGCGCTGGACGAGCCGGGATCGCGGGGACCCTGCGGTACGTCAGCTTTGTCCCCTCCCCGCGGTGGCCCGGGGGGTCCCCGGGGGTGTCGCAGAGTGTCCCCTCCCTCTCTCGCAGAGAGTGGCAGCAGCGGGACGAGCCTCGAGGACCAGCTGAGCCCGGGAGCTGAAGGTACCCAACCCCCCCCGGGGGTCCCGCGGTGTCACCGCCACCCCCGAGGGGACAGCGGGGCTGGGGACAGCCACCATCTGCTCCTCCAGGTCTGCGTCCCCCCGGGGCTGTGACAAGGGCGGGGATGTCCCCAAACCAGCGCCAGTCACCCCCTGCTGTCCCCCCGCTCCCTTTTCCAGCTCTGCTGCTCCCGGGGACCCCCCAGGCGGCGGGCAGGTGAGATTTGGGGTCCCGGGGGAGGCTGGCAGGGCGGGGGACCCTGTCCCCGTGTGTCCCCTGGCACTGTCCCCTCCCCACGCAGGAGTCAGTGGGAGCGGCGGCCGAACCCTGGGGACAGCACGGCCTGCGGTGTCCCCTCCGGTGTCCCCTCCGGTGTCCCCTCCGGTGTCCCCAGCAGCCGCAGGTGGGGGCAGGCCGCTCGGGGGTCGCTGTCACGCCGCTGTCCCCCCGGCGGGGCTGTCCCCTCGCGCAGCCTGCCCGCCGTGCTGGCCTGGTGCCAGTCGGACGCCGAGGAGATCCTGCACAGCCTGGGCTTCGTGGGGAGCGAGCCGGGGGTCGCGTCCCGGGTCCCCCCCCGCTTCTTCTCGGGCCCGTCCCGCGCCAGCGGCATCGACCTCGGGCTCTTCCTGCGGGCCCAAGCGCGGCGCCTGGCCACGGAGGATCCCTGCCTGCTGCTGGCCAGTGCGTGACACCCCTGTCCCTGTGTCCCCGCTGTCGCCTGCCCGCCAGCGGCCCTCGGGGGGGGGGATTTGAAACGCTCCCGTGCCTCAGTTTCCCAGTGCGGGAATTGGGGGATCACCCCGAGCTCCCCGAGCTGTGGGGTGGGATGCACTCCCTGCTCCTGTCGGAGCTGGGAAATGGCTGCCGTGCCTCAGTTTCCCCAGGCGGGAGCTGGGGGGACCCTCCCAGCCCCCCCCACCCCTCCCCGAGCCCCCTGACCCCCGACCCCCCGATGTCCCCCCCAGGTCGCTTCCAGCAGGTGCAGGCCCTCGCTGCCGCCGCCGACGCGTTCTTCTGCCTCTACTCCCACGTGTCGCGGACCCCCCTGCAGCGCATCGCCCCCCCCCGGCCCTGTCGCGACATCCCCGACAGCGCCGAGCGGCCCGGGGAGCGCCTGAAGCGCGCGGTGTCCTCGCTGTGCCTCTACACCGGGGCAGGCGACAACGGCGACATCCCGCGGGGGGGGACCCGGGGCGAGACCCCCGGCCCCCGCAGCGCGCGGGACCCGGGGGGGCTTCGGGCGGGGCCGGGCGGTGCCCCCGAGGGCTGCCGGGGGGACGGCGACACGACCACGGGGCAGTGGTGGCCGTCCCCGAGGCCACCCCCTGCGGGGACAGCGTGGGGACACCCCGAGCGCTCCTGTCCCCGCGGCCTGGGGGTCTGGGGGCGCGGGGGGGCTTCGTGCCCGGCCAGAGCAGCGCGGGGGGACACGGGGACACCCAGCAGGGTGGCGGCCACCCCCGAGAGCCCCGCGGGGCTGCGACCCCCGGGCGACCCCGGCCTCGACCCTCGGTGCCACCCGGGGGCCACCGCGAGGGCCGGGGGACACCGCGCCGGGCTGCGGGGGGGTCCCCAGGGGCTGCAGCCCCCCGGGGGTGTCCCCGAGCCCCCCGAGCCCCGAGGAGCGGCGGAGTCCTTCGAGCTGGAGGAGGTGAGGAGGAGGAGGAGGGGGAGGAGGGGGAGGAAGGCCCCCCCGGCTGGCGCGGGGAAGGAGCTGGAGCGGGAAATGTCCCCGGAGCCTCGCAGGCTTTTAAGGTTTCAATGATTCAGAGGCTCGGGCGGGGCCGGGCCCGGGGGGAGCCGGGTCCCTGCCCCCCCCCGCGGGCACAGGCACGCACAGGCCGGGCCGGGTCACGCGTGGGGACACGAGGGACGCGCGGGGGCGGCGCCACACCTTTGTCACGGCAGCGGTGACACGCTGGGCCCCGCACCCACCCCCCGCAGGTGCTGAGCGAGGAGGAGGAGGATGACGATGATGATGATGAGGAGGAGGAGGAGGATGATGATGATGATGCCCCCGAGGAAGCCGCCCGCTCCCCCCATCCCTTCATCAGCACCCGCAGGAGTGAGTGGGGGTCTTCCTCACCCTCCTGGGGGGCACGGGCTGCCCGGTGCCAGCGTGTCCCAGCTGTGTCCCCGCCGTGTCCCCACCCTGTCCCCACCCTGTCCCCGCCATGTCTCCACGGTGTCCCCCGTGTCCCCCCGTGTTCCAGCCCTGTCCCCACCGTGTCCCACACGTGTCCCCACCGTGTCCCCCCGTGTCCCCGCCCTGTCACACCGTGTCCCCCCGTGTCCCCGCCCTGTCACACCGTGTCCCCCCGTGTCCCCGCAGGCTCCCTGCTCCAGGGGCGCTCCCACAGCAGCGGTTTCGGGGAGGAGCCGCTCCCCCCCTCGGCGCCCCCGGCCCGGACTGCGTGACCCGAGGCCACCTCGGGAGGACGTGTGGCCTCGGCCGGCTGTCCCACGGACGTTTTGGACACGCGTGTGACACGTGTGTGTGTGTGTGTGTGTGGCACAGGAAAACCTCCGCGCTCGGGATTTTGCCCCATTTTTTTGTCCCTCCCTCGCCCCCCCAGCCCTGTGGCTCGGGGCCTGCAGCAGGGAAGTGTCCCCAGCCCTTGGGGACGTGTCCCCAGCCCTTGGGGACGTCACTTGCACTTTGGTCGGTTACACTAGAGGGGGGTGGGGACACAATAAAGTCCCCCAAGGGATGGCGGTGGTCGTGTCCGTGCTGGGGGGTGCGATCATCCCTGCCCAGCCCCCACCCGGGGGTCGGGCTCAGCCCCCGCGCCCCCCCAGGTGCCAGCCCCAGGACCCCGGCGAGGAGCCACCGCGGTCCCTTTGTCACCGGGCTGTCGCTGTCCCCCGGGACCCTCGGCGTGCCAGGGTGGCACCGGGAAGTCCCGGAGGATCAACAGCCCCGGGGCTTCCCCGTGGAGAGCGGCCAGGCCGGGATCATCCGGGATTATCCCCGCAGCCCCTCCGGCACCGGGGCCGGGACCGCATCCCAAATCCCGGGGGCAGAATTCCATCCCACCGGCGATGAACCCCAAATCCCGGGGGAGATTGTTCCATCCCACCGGGGCCGAATCCCAAATCCCGGGGGGAGAATTCCTTCCCACCGGGGCCGAATCCCAAATCCCGGGGGGAGGATTCCATCCCACTGGGGCTGAATCCCAAATCCCGGGGGGAGATGGTTCCATCCCAGAACCAGACTGGGACAGGGATGGGGTTGGGGACACGCTGGGACAACTTCCTCCAGCTCTCCATGCAGAGATCAGCAGCTCCAGCACATTTCATGGACACTTTGGAGGCCACGGTGCTTCCCAGGAGGGTTTTAGTGGATTTTGGGGCCATTTAGGATTAATTAATCCACTGGGATGGGGAGCTGCTGGAGCAGCACAAAGAGGTTCCTCTTGCCATGAGGTGTTTCTGTGAGGGTGTTCAGGGATTAACTCCCTGATCCAGGATTCCAATTCCCTGCTGGGGGCTCTGGCTCTGCCTCCCGGATCTGCCTGCCCCAAATCCCCGCCCGGGGCACGGCTGGGCTCTCCTCACCCTCCTCTTCCCACCGGGAATGAACGGGGCTCTCTGAGCCACCAGGAACAGGCAGGAAGGTGGCACAAATCCTCCCTCGGGCGCTGGGATGATGGAAAACACCCAGGATTCATCCCTCGGCTCGGCAGCCAAGAGGAAGGACGTGGCCAAGCCGTGGGAGCCGCTTCCCACGGGAGCAGGAGCTGCTGGGGGGGCAGGGAAGGAGTGGGGGGAGCTGCCGGCAGGGCCCCGTGTCCTACATTTGGGGCTGGCTTTGGTGCGGGGTGTTCTCCATCCCTACTGGCACCACATCCAGGCTCATCCCGCCCCAGTTCCGTCCCCATGGCCACCAGGTCCTGCCCCATCCCTATCCACAGCCATCCCTTCTCCATCCCTGTTCCTATCCACCTCCAGCCCTTCTCCATCCCAGTTCCATCCCCATCCCCATCCAGGCTCATCCTGCCCCAGTTCCGTCCCCATGGGCACCAGGTCCTGCCCCATCAGCCATCCCTTCTCCATCCCTGTTCCCATCCACCTCCAGCCCTTCTCCATCCCCAATTCCATCCCCAATCCCATCCACATCCAGCCCCATCCATACCCATCCTTGCCTCATCCATCCTCAATCCCATCCCCAATCCCACTCCTGCAGGACCCAGAACCTCTCCCGGGACACATCCCTGAACCCCCCATCCCTCGGAGCTGCCGTCAATCAATCATTTCAATCAATCAATCAACCATTCCCCAGAACTCCGCCTAAACCTTTTCCCGAGCGGGGCTCAGCCGGGCAGGTCCTGCTGTGAGCGGGGCCGGCCCTGGAGCCCGGCACGGCCCCAGCCCGGCACAGCCCGGCACGGCACGGCCCCAGCCCCGAGCCTTTCCCGAGCGGGGCTCAGCCGGGCAGGTCCTGCTGTGAGCGGGGCCGGCCCCGGAGCCCGGCACGGCCCCAACCCGGAGCCCGGCACGGCCCCAGCCCCGAGCCCGGCACTGCCGCAGCCCCGAGCCCGGCACGGCCCGGCCCCAGCTCCCGAACTGTCCGAGCAGCTCCGGGAACGATTCATCCTCATCTCCTGTGGGGCACGGCTCTGCCCGCCGTGTGCTGCCTGTGTCCAGCCCGTGTCACTCCTTGTCCAGCCCGTGTCACTCTGTCCTGCCAGTGGTCACTCTCTGTCCTGCCCGTGTCATTCTGTGTCCAGCCCGTGGTCACTCTGTGTCCTGGCCATGTCCAGCCCATGGTCACTCCATGTCCTAGCTGTATGTCCTCCATGTCCCTCCATCCCTGTGGCCCTCCATGTCCCCAAATGTCCCCAAATGTCCCCTCCTGTCCTTTTCCCATCAGGTGCTGGGAAGCCCAGTGCTGGAGTGTGTGGGGCCTGGGAGGGTGTGTGGAGTGTCCAGGGGTGCCCTGGAACACTCTGGGGTGCCCTGGGGCACTCTGGGGTGCACTGGGATGCTCTGGGGTGCCCTGGGATGCTCTGGGGTGCACTCGTTTTCTCTGGGGTGCCCTGGGACACTCTGGGGTGCACTGGGGGCACTGGTTTTTTCTGGGGTGCCCTGGGACACTCTGGGGTGCACTGGGGGCACTGGTTTTCTCTGGGGTGCCCTGGGACGCTCTGGAGTGGAACCCACAGAGCTCCGGGGGGGTCAGGAACTGCTCGGGGCTGGGGCTGGGCTGGCCCGGGGGGGCTGGGGGCTAATCCGGGCTAATCCCGCCCTGGCACGGGCACCTGCCCACACCTGGAAAATCCCCGGGTGCCCCAGCCCTGCCCCAGCCCCTTCAAAAGGGGCAGAGGCGGCTCCCGGCTCACCCAGCCCGCTCAGCCGACCCCTCCGTGCCCCTGCCCGTGCCCGTGCCCGCCGCCAGGATGAAGCTCTGGACCGCGCTGCTGCTGGCCGGGCTCGCCAGCCTGGCCACTGCCCGTGAGCAGGGGACACGGCTGGCACCGGGGTGGCATTGGTGTGGCATTGGGGTGGCATTGGGGTGGCACTGCGGGCAGCATCGGGGTGGCACCGGGGTGGCACTGCGGGTGGCATTGAGGTGGCACTGGGGGTGTCCCGGTGGGTGCGGGAGGGAGGTCAGGGTGCCAGCGGTGTCCCCAAACTGGGGTGGGGGTCCTGGGGCTCCCGACCCCCGCCCAGGTGGGCGATGCCACCTCCGCTCTTCCCCCGCAGGCCCCGTGGAGGAGCCGAGTTCGGAGGGGCTCCTGGCGGAGCTCGGCAACCTGCTGGACCCCGCGGTGCTGCAGGAGGCCGAGGAGAAACCCCTGGAGCTGCTGGACCCCCACGAGGAACCCCTGGAGCTGCTGGACCCCCACGAGGAACCCCTGGAGCTGCTGGACCCCCACGAGGAACCCCTGGAGCTGCTGGACCCCCACGAGGAACCCCTGGGGCTGCTGGGGTCACTGTTGCCGCTGGACCCCAACGAGGAGCCCCAGGAGCTGGAGGATCCTGAGGTGAGCCCCGAGGAGCCCGAGGAACCGGAGGAGAGCCCCGAGGAGGCCGAGGAACCCGAGGAGAGCCCTGAGGAGCCCGAGGAACCCGAGGAGAGCCCCGAGGAGTCTGAGGAATCTGAGGAGAGCCCCGAGGAGTCTGAGGAATCTGAGGAGAGCCCCGAGGAGTCTGAGGAACCCGAAGCCAGCCCTGAGGAATCCGAGGATCCTGAAGAGAGCCCTGAGGAGTCCGAGGAATCTGAGGAGAGCCCTGAGGAGCCTGAGGAACCCGAGGAGAGCCCCGAGGAGCCTGAGGAACCTGAGGAGAGCCCTGAGGAGTCTGAGGAGAGCCCTGAGGAGTCCGAGGAGAGCCCCGAGGAGGCCGAGGAACCCGAGGAGAGCCCTGAGGAGCCCGAGGAACCCGAGGAGAGCCCTGAGGAGTCTGAGGAACCTGAAGCCAGCCCTGAAGAGTCCGAAGATCCTGAAGAGAGCCCCGAGGAATCCGAGGAATCTGAAGAGAGCCCAGAGGAGTCTGAGGAACCCGAAGAGAGTCCAGAGGAGTCTGAGGAACCTGAAGCAAGCCCTGAGGAGTCTGAGGAATCTGAGGAGAGCCCTGAGGAATCAGAGGATCCCGAAGCGAGCCCTGAGGAGTCAGAAGATCCCGAAGAGAGCCCCGAGGAATCAGAGGATCCTGAAGAGAGTCCCGAGGAGTCAGAGGAGCTCAGCGTGGACCCGAATGTCCTGGTGGAACTGGCAGAAAAACTGAAAGGTTTGCAAGCCCCCCAAAAACCCCTAAAACCCCCAGGGGAGGGCAGGTCTGCTTTGGGACCCCCTAAAACCCCTGAACCTCCCAGGGGAGGGCAGATGTGCTTTGGGACCCCCCTAAAACCCCTGAACCCCCCAGGGGAGGGCAGGTCTTTGGGTTCTGTCTCTGTTCCAGGGCAGGGTCGGTGCTGCCGGGTCAGTTCGCTCCCGAGGGTTGGGAACGATCCCAAATCCCTGTCCCGGCTCCGATGGGGAGGGAACGGGAGGGGGTCAGACCCCCCCGAGGCACAAACGGAGCCGGGACAGGGGACGGTGGCACCGCCGGGGGGGGTCACAGGGGGATCAGAACGTGCCACCGCTTTGGGTGGTTCGGGAACCCCGAGGAGGGGGCGAGGAGCCCCTCGGGGTGCTGGAGCCCCCCGGTTTTGCCCCCGCAGAGGCGCAGGAAGGCGAGAAGAACGAGGGGATCCTGTCGCATCTCATGGACGCGATTAACTGGCTGGTGACCCATCTGAGCAAACACGTGTTCGGGTGCGCACGGGGGCTCGGGCTGCGACCCCGAGGTCAGCGCCCCAAAACCGCTCCCGGCCCCTCCCCGCGCCTGGGGGGGTGGGGGTCGCCTGGGGGGGGGTCTCAAGAGGGGATGAGGGGGCCGGGCCGGGGCTCAGCTCCGCTGTGTTTTCTCTTTTGCAGGTGAGCAGTGAGCACCGTGAGCGCTGCCCCAGGGCCGGGGGCGGATCCCGCTCCCCCCGCCGAGCTCCCGGCTCGTCCCGCGGCTTTCCCCGCCCCAGGGACCCCCCCGCCCCCAGCCCCGCACATCCCAAATAAAGCCGATCCCAAACGCCGCCCGTCGTGTGCTGCCGGCTCTGCCGGGGGTGGGGGGAATGGGGCTGGGGGCTGTCCTGGGGTCCAGCAAAAAGAACCGAGGGCCCCTCACCCCATCCCAGTGCCCGTTTTGGGGTCTTCAGCCGTGGCTTCAATCCTCACCCAGCCTGGAGACCCCCAGGGATGGGGAACCCCTCCAGCTGTGCCCAGCTGTGCCTCCGGGCCCTGCAAACCCCAGAGTGCAGACCCCAACCCTCAGACCCCTTTCCCTGTTCCCAAACTCCCTGTCCCAGTCAGGAGCAGGGCCCGGCCCTGGTTTGGGGGGGGGTCGCTGTCTCCCGAGGCTCTCCCAGGGTGGGCAAGGACAGCTCAGGGTCCCCACGGGGGTCCCCAGCTCAGTGGGGATGGGACACGAGGACCCCTGGGTGGCCGGGGACAGCTTGGTCCCCTCTGTCACACCCAGCATCTCCTGTCCTTGTCCCTCTCCCGTCCCTCCTCACTGCGGGGGTGACCCCCAGCCTTGAGGGGGGGTCCCAGACAATCCCTGGGGACCACCCTGGCCATGTCCCCGGTGCCGTGGCGGGTCCCTTCCCCCCTCCACGGGTGTCCCGTGGGGGCCGAGGTTGGATTGGCAGCTCTGACACCCCCCGGCTGTGCCAGAGCCCTGCCCGGGGGGGGCGGGGGGCTGCGGTTTCCATGGCGACGGCGATGAGGCGGCAGCTCCGTGGGAAGCGGGAGATTGGGGGGAGGGGGGGGAGCAGCTCTGTGGTTTTTGGGAGCCGTGGGACACTCCCGAAGGACCCCCGGGATCAGCCCGGTCCCGGTCCCGTGAGCTTTTGGGGTTGCTCCCCCCAAAATCCCCACAGGGGCGCGCGGCTGAACCGGTGCCCGCTGGTTCCCAGTTTGGATCCCAGTAAAGGACATCTCGTGGTTCTCTTTCCACTCCCCGGTCACCCCAAACTCACTCAGCTCTCCAAGGATGGGGGAACACCCGAAATTTATGATTTCCCCCTCAATAAATCCCCGCTAGGAACAAACCCGGCCCCTCCCGGCGCAGGGAAATGCCTCATGCCGGTGTGAAGAGCTGCCTCATCCTCACCCTCCTCCTCCTCGCTGGCTGACATCTCCCCGCGCCTCCTCCCACCGCTGCCGGGCAGCTTTTCCCCCAAACCCGGCGCTTTTTGGGCCGTTTTTTCCCGGGGAGAGGCGCCTGCTGCCAGCTCTGGGATGTGGAGGGGACGCGGAGGGGGCGGGAAAATGAATTCGGTGCGAGCTCCGGGCAGGTGAGAGAATTCACAGCTTCACAAAAATCTGCTTTTCCTGCTCGGCTGGGTTTTTTTCTGGTTTTTTTTTTTTTCCCCAAGGCTGGCGGTGAGCAGGGCCGGGCGCTGCCGCAGAGGGGAATGTCCCCTGCGAGGTGGCACAAGTCGCTCCTGGCGCTGTCATTGTCCCCCCGAGGGGGAACCGAGCGTGGTTCGGGGCTGGGACCCACCCGGGTGGGGCCACCCGGTGTGAAAATGTCACCTGCGGCCACCTGGGGCGGGGCCGGGCCTGGCGCTGTCCCCAAACGCCGGGAATTGACCCCAAATAAAGGACGGAGCCGAGGAACGGAGCGGACCCCACAGAGCCTTGGGATCAGCAGGGTGGTGACAGCCAGGTGACGTCAGCAGCTGGCAGCTGGTGACGTGTGAGTGACGTCATCAGCTGCCAGGTGGTGACATCTAAGCACGTGACCTCCTGCGGGCTCCCGGGATGTCCCCGCCCCGTGGCCCCAAAAGGCCGCGATGTCCCCAGTAAAGGGGGGGGGACGGGACACTGGGGAGGGACACTGGGGACACTGGGGGGGGACACTGGGGGGGCTGGGGACACTGGGGTGGGGTCCAACCCTCACCCCCCACCCCCGAGGCCAGGGGAGGTTTTTCCTGGCTCTGAAGGCCGGGGTTGGGATGGGGGGGATGGGTGGGGTGGGGGGCCGCCCCCGGTGGTCCCCCAGGAGGAGCAGGGACAAGGAGCCCCCCGGGATGTCCCCTCCAGCCGGGTCCCCTCGGGAGCCCCCCCGGATCAGCCGGGATGTGGATCCTGGAGCCGCAGCCTCAGCCGCACTCGGAGGAACCGATCCTAATTAATTTCGGTTCATCGACTAATTAACGGATTTGCCTGGGAAGGCTCGGGAAACCCCCGCTCCCTGCACGGAGCTGCGCGGGGAGCCGGGGGTCCCCCGGGATCTCTGCGCTGACCCCGGAAAACGCCCCCCAAGCCCCCCCCGACCCCGGGGTCCGCGGAGGGGCCGGGGCCGCCAGTCCCGGGGGATTTTCCCGGAGCTGGCGCGGATCCCGCTCCCTCCGGGAATGCCGGCGCCGCTCCACGCCTGGGTCGGGGCCAGGCTGGCCCAGGTGTCGCCGCGGGCCCCGGGGGACGAGCGGGGCCGTTCCGGGGGGGTTCGGCAGCCCCGGCTGCGGAGCCGCGGGACAGGGGCGGCAGCTGGGCGAGGACGCTGCCAAACGGGCAAAGCCGTGCCCGCAGCTCAACATCTGGGGCCCGCCGTGGCCGTCCAGCCAGCAGTGCCCCCGCCTGTGCCAAGGCCGCCTCCTCCTCCTCTTCCTCCTCCTCCTCTTCCTCCTCCGAGCCCGGCCGGGGGCGGCGCGGATGGGGAGGAATCTTTTCCATGGCCTGGGAATGTCGCGACAGGCGCCGGGAGCCCCCGCGCCTCGAGGAACCGGTGCAGAGAAGGGGGGACCCCCCTGTCGGGATCCCCCGGGGTCCCGCTGTGACCCCACGGGGGTCTGAGGGGTGGTCGTGGCCGCAAACAGCAGCGGGGGGACCCTGGGGTGGCACCCAGGGGTGCGGGGTGCGCCTGTCCCGATGTCCTGTGACCCCGGGGCTGTGCTGGGACCCCCGTCCTGGGACCTCAAATCTTCCCAGCACCCCAAATCCTGGCTTTCCAAACCACCCTGGGCAGTGCCCAACCCCAAATCCTGACTCTCCAAATCCCCCTAGGGCAGTGCCAAACCCCAAATCCTGACTCTCCAAAACCCCCCCCGGGCAGTGCCCAACCCCAAATCCTGACTCTCCAAACCACCCTGGGCAGTGCCCAACCCCAAATCCTGACTCTCAAAACTCTCCCCGGGCAGTGCCCAACTCCAAATCCTGACTCTCCAAACCCCCCCGGGCAGTGCCCAACCCCCTCCCCACACTGCAGAGCCCCCCAGGTCCTCTGGAGTCCCCCCTCCCACGGATCCCAGCCTGGACAAGCCCCGGCTCCCCGAAATCCCCCGGCCGCCGGGATGAGGGCGCTGGGGACCCCCCGAGGGGGCCGGGGGGCGCTCGGGGGGCGCTCGGCTGCTGAGGGCTCCCGCCAGCAGAGGTCAGCTCCGGCCCGGGGATGCGGGAGCCGCTCGCGTGCGGCTCCGTGTGCGGCTCCGTGTGTGATTCCCGGGCTGATTCCCTGTGATTCCCTGTGTGATTCCATGTGTGATTCCATGGATGATTCCATGTGCAATTCCCGGACTGACTCCCTGTGACTCTCTGCGTGATTCAATGTGCAATTCCATGGATGATTCCTTGTGTGATTCCCGGGCTGATTCCATGTGATTCCCTGTGCACTTCCATGTGTGAGTCCATGGGTGATTCCATGGATGATTCCCAGGCTGATTCCCTGTGTGATTCCCTGTGCCGTTCCATGTGTAATTCCATGGCTGATCTCCTGTGATTCCATGGCTGATTCCGTGTGAGATTCCTGGTCTGATTTCATGTGATTCCCTGTGATTCCATTGGTGATTCCCTGTGTGATTCCCTGTGATTCCATGGCTGATTCCGTGTGAGATTCCTGGTCTGATTTCATGTGATTCCCTGTGATTCCATTGGTGATTCCCTGTGTGATTCCCTGTGATTCCATGGCTGATTCCGTGTGAGATTCCTGGTCTGATTTCATGTGATTCCCTGTGATTCCATTGGTGATTCCCTGTGCGATTCCATGCATGATTTTATGTGTGATTCCCAGCCTGATTTCACGTGATTCCCTGTGATTCCATTCCATGGGTAATTCCTTGTGATCCCCATGGGTTTTTCCTTGGAATAATCACATGATCCCATGTGAGATTCTATGCGAAATTCTCTGATTTCACGTGATCCCATGGATGATTCCCTGTGCGATTCCATGCGAGATTCCCTGGATGATTCCTGGTCTGACTCTGTGTGATTCCCTGTGCGCTGCCACCTCCCCTCAGGGGTGTGGGGGGTGACACGAGGGACCCCAGCCCACCCAGGACCCCCCCACAAGCCACATCCCAGCAGGAAAAATTCCTGGGGGGTTCCCGGCACGAAAAGCCCCTGGGGGGGGCGGAGCTCCTGGGGTGTTTCCCAGCAGGAAAAGCCCCTCTGGGGGGGTTCTGCTCCAAAAAGTTCTTTTTTCCCTGCCCCTTTCTGGGAGGTGCACGCCCCCTCCCCCCCTCCTTCCCAGCTCTGGGAAACCGGAGCAGGAAAATGGGGAAGGGGAAGCTGAGGGAGGGGAAACTGAGGCAGGAGCAGCGCGAGAGGCTCACCCCGCACATCTCAGGTGCCCCCCACTCTGTCACCCACACCCGCAGGTTTTGGGGGGTCAGGAGGTGCCCCCCGAGTGTCCCCAGCCCCCGACGTGTCCCCTCTCCAGCACCAACATTTCCACAATTCCCACCGGGGTGGGGAAATTCCCCCCGGAGCCTCCGGGACCCTGCGTTGGATGGCCCGGGGGGGGGGGTTGGAGACCCCAAAACTCAGCCGAGGGGACCCCGGGGACAGCGTCCCTTTGTCCCCGCCGCCCCCGCGCCACCTCTCGCCGGTGCCACCATCGCTCAAAGTGACAAGCACGGGTCAGCGAGCGCTGGCCGCAGCCCCCCGCCCTCCCCAAGCCCGGGGCCCCCCAGCCCCTCATTTCTCCCTAATTGCATTCCCCAGTGTTATGCAAATGAGGCGGCCCGGGCGCAGCTGCCGGGATTAAATTAGACCCCGTTAATACGCGCTAATTGCGCTTCCGCACGGGCCCAGGAATTCCAGCCGGGCCGCGGGGGCTTTTCCCGATATTTACCCTGGAAATTGCCCTCCCTTCCGGGGGGGGGACACGGGGATACTGCCCGGGGGGACACGGCCCGGGGGGGACACGGCCCGGGGGGTCCCCAGCAGTGGCAGTGGGAGGGCTCCAGGGAGGAGGGGGGCGGCTCCTGGGGTGGGCACGGCTGGAGATTTGGGGACCCCCAGCCCTGGGCACGGGTGGCACTTCCCTGGTGCCCATCGTGGGGACCCCCAGTGCCCACCCTGGCAGGGCTGGAGGGGCTGTGCCCGTTCCTGGGGGTGGGGGGGAAAGGGGAAAGGGGAAAGGAGAAAGGGGAAAGGAGAAAGGAAAGGAAAGGAAAGGAAAGGAAAGGAAAGGAAAGGAAAGGAAAGGAAAGGAAAGGAAAATGAAAAGAAAGGAAAAAAGAGAGGAAAGGAAAAAGAGAGGAAGGAGAAGGGAAGGGGAGGAAAAGGGGAAGAGGGAAGGGAAATCTCTGCCGAGCGTTCCGGGGGGGCCGCGCACCCCCAGCAGTTGCGGTCCCCCCGCACAATGGGGGCAGGGGGCGCGTGGCCGGCGCAGACAATGCCCCGGGGGTCCCGCGGCCCCGGGGGAGCCCGGGCCGTGTCCCCCCTCCCCCGGGGCGCCCACCGGCCCCTTTGTGCGGGTGCCGGGACCTGTTGGAGCCATCTGTCAGGGGGGGCCCGCAACAGGCAGATTTATCGGCCGCAATCTGTTCCTGCCGCTCGGGCCGCGCGCCGGGAAGGGAGCCACGGAGCCGCCTAATGAATTAATTAGTATTCCCCGTAATCCCGGCCTGCCGCGGCCGCGATTCCGAGCGCTCCCAGGCAGTGGGGAGGGGTCCCGCGGGGCTGGCGGGGATTTGGGGAGCAGCGGATGGATGAGGAGGGGGTCGGGGGATGGTTTTTGGGGTGTCAGGGCTGTCCTCCACTTCCACTCCTGCCCCAAGGTGGGGGAACCCCAGGTGGGAGGGGCTCCCCCAGTCCTCGGGCCACGCAAAACGACCCAGGACCCCCGGAATATCGGGGGGGGGGATTTTTCCGTCCCCTGCTCTCCCTTCCCGGGGGCTGCCGAGCCCCGAGGTCCCTTCCCCCGGGCCCCTTCTGGCCCTGCCGAGCGCTAATTACTGCCCTTGGCTCTCTCATTACCGCCGCGAGGGGCTCGCGCCCCCGCGCCCCCCCAGCACCCGGGCGGGAGCCGGTGTCACCCCCAGTGTCACCCCCAGTGTCACCCTCGACCGCCGCGAGGGGCTCGCGCCCCCCGCGCCCCCCCAGCCGCTGTCACCCTCGGTGTCACCCCCGGTGTCACCGGGGCAGTGCCCAGCGAGGGGGGTGAGGACACCCCCAGGACCGTGGCGCTGGTGGCACTGTCACATCGTGTCCTGGGGGATGAGGGAGGGGGGGTCGGGGACTGTCCTGGGGCTGGGCAAACTGGGGGGGACATCGGGGGTGTCCTGGGGCTGGGCAAACCGGGGGGGACATCGGGGATGTCCGTCCGGGGGCTCCATCCGTGGGGGTCCGTTCAGGGGCTCATCCAGGAGGATCCATCCAGGGGGTCCCGTCCGGGGGTTCCCAAGATCCGGGGTGTCCCCGAGTGCCCACCCAGGGGTCCCCAAGAACCGGGGGTGTCCCCGAGTGCCCCACCCAGGGGTCCCCAAGAACCGGGGGTGTCCCCGAGTGCCCACCCAGGGGTTCCCAGGATCCGGGGTGTCCCCGAGTCACCCACCCAGGGGTCCCAAGAACCGGGGGTGTCCCCCCGCCAGTCCCCAAGCCCGGGACGCTCGGGCGCTGCCGTCGGGGTCCCGGCGGGGCCGCGGGAGGAGCCGGGCCCGGTCACTCCCCCCGTGGGAGGAGCCACGCGGGACCCGCGGCCGGGCAGGAGCCGCGGGCAGCGCGGAGCTCTCAAAACCGCCCGAGCGCGGAGCCGCCGGTGCCCGCCGCGCTCCCGGTGCGCTCCCGGTGCGCTCCCGGTGCGCTCCCGGTGCGCTCCCGCCGCGCTCCCCGGGGCTGACCCCGCCATGTCCCCGGGCGAGTGACACAAGTGACAGCGGGGACTCGCTGTGGTGCCCAGGTAAGGGCGCACCGGGATCCCGGTACTCCGGTCCGGCCGTGCCCCCGACGGGGCTCCGCGGCCGCTCGGTGCTCCCGGTACCCCCGGGATGGCGCGGGGGGCTCTGCCCCGACGGCGGAGCGGCGGGACCCCGGCCCGGGGGGGTTTGGGCGGCGGGGGGGGGGGGACACAGCGAGGGTTCGGCGACCCCCGGGCGCGGCGGGGCCGGGGTCTGGCTGGGGGTGGTGGAGAAGGAAGAGATTTCCTCAGGCAATTCCCTCTTTGTGTGATTTCTTTTTTTAATTTTTTTTTTTTTTATTTTAAAATCAATATTCTGTAGAAAGAAAGCAAACTCCCCTTAAAAATTCCAGCGGGACTTCCAAAGGGAGAACTTTCCCTGGAAATGCCGGGCAGGGCGGGGGCGCGGGGCTCCCCTCGAGAAGGGAACCCCAAACCCGGGGATTTCCTCCCGGGATGGATCCCGGGAGCAGCGAGGAGAGGGAAAATCCCCGAGGATGGGGGAAAGGGACCCCCGGCTGCAGCCTGGGGGGTTTTGGGGCGGATCTGCAGCGTTTTGGGGCTGATCTCACCGGGGCCATCCCCTCACCCCAAAATCGATCCTTCCCCGCCCTCGCCCCCCCCGGTTTCCCATCCTCCGCCAGACCCCCGGTGCTCCGCCAGGAGTTAATTGGGGCCGCGTGGTCCTTTGGGGATAGGGCAGCAATTAACACCCTAATCCCGCCCGGGAGCCCCATCACGCATATTAAAAGTGGGATTTTCCGCGTGGGATGCTCGGGAAAGGGGAGCAGCACTTCCAGCAAAGCAGCTTAGGGGCTAAAGCTTTATGGAATGAGCCGGGGGCCGTGATGGGATTTGGGGGGGCCGATTAACGGGGACCCGGGGCCGCCACCGAGGGTAAGGGAGGCTCGGGGAAGGAAAATTTCGGACCAGGAATTGCCAGCCCCCTTTTGGCACCCCCAGTGTGACAGTCGGGGTGTGACAAGAAGGGGTTCAGGAGCGGGAATAACCCCGAAATGGGATGGTTGGAAGCTCTGGGAACGTTGCTGGAGTTCAGGGAGAGGCGCCAGCATCTCCCAAATAAAATCCGCTGGAAATTGAGAGGGAAATAGGAGGAAAAAAGGAATCCATGGGTGCTGGGAGAGAGCAGAAACTGCGGCTGTGCCTGGAGGAGGATTCTCCCTCTGGGATCCGTCCCCACGTGCCCGTCCCTCCCTTGCAGATGCCCCAGAGCTGCGCCAAGCCCTCGGACATGGCCGAGCTCGTCAGCAGCCAGGCCTGGATGGGCGACGTGCCGGCAGCCAAGGCCGAGCTGAAGGAGGGGGACACCAGGAGCGCTCCCTTCGCGCCGGTGCCGGCCCTGGAGGAGCACGACAGCGTGGAGGAGGAGGAGGAGGAGGAAGAGGACGGCGAGAAGCCCAAGAGGAGGGGCCCGAAGAAGAAGAAGATGACCAAGGCCAGGCTGGAGCGGTTCCGCGCGCGGCGGGTCAAGGCCAACGCCCGCGAGCGCACGCGGATGCACGGCCTGAACGACGCCCTGGACAACCTGCGCAGGGTCATGCCCTGCTACTCCAAAACCCAGAAGCTCTCCAAGATCGAGACACTGCGGCTGGCCAGGAACTACATCTGGGCCCTGTCCGAGGTGCTGGAGACGGGGCAGACACCCGAGGGGAAGAGCTTCGTGGAGATGCTGTGCAAGGGGCTCTCGCAGCCCACCAGCAACCTGGTGGCCGGCTGCCTGCAGCTGGGAGCGCAGCCGCTCTTCCTGGAGAAGCACGAGGAGAAGCCCTGCGAGGCAGCCCTGCCTGGCCACTCCTTCGGCTACCAGGGGCTGCCCAGCCCCCCCTACGGCTCCATGGAGTCCCACCTGCTGCACCTGAAGCCGCCGGCCTTCAAGAGCCTGGTGGAGGCTTCCTTCGGGAGCCACCCCTCTGACTGCTCCACGCCCCCCTACGAGGGGCCCCTGACGCCGCCCCTGAGCATCAGCGGGAACTTCTCCCTGAAGCAGGACGGCTCCCCGGAGCTGGAGAAGTCCTACCCGCCCTTCATGGCCCACTACCCCTCGGTCAGCCTGGCCGGAGCCCACGGCCACGGCTCGCACTTCCAGGGCTCCGTGCCCCGCTACGAGATCCCGCTGGACGTCGCCTTCGAGTCCTTCCCGCCGCACGTGGCCGGGCCCCAGCTCGGCGCCATCTTCAACGAGTAGCGGGGCCGGATGCGGCTTTGGGGCAGGGAGAAGAGCCCAGGGTGGACACGGCTGGAGCATCTCTGCAGGACGTGGCCCTGGAGGTGGCCGGTGCCACCGCTGCTGTCCCAGCTGTCCCCAGGAGCCACGGGAACCGTTCCGGACTCCGAGCGGTCGCTGCTGCGTCCCCCAGAGATGCTCCCGAAGGTGTTTCCACCCCCAGGAGTCCATCCTGACACCAGGTCCAGCCCTTGGATTGTCCATCCTCTCCCTGTCCCCCTCAATGTGGGGACACAGCCCCTCCTGCCCCTCGGCGTGCCCACTGTCCCTTCCCCGTGTGGGGTCATGGATTTCCCAGTCCAGCAGGGGTTGGGTGGGAATGAGCCGGACACTTGTGAGAAACCAGCACGGAAATTCCCACCCCCAGGAGAACCTTTTCCTTCTGCCATCATGCATGGGGGACAAGGTCCGGGAACGAGGGGACAACATCCAGGGATGGAGGGACAACATCTAGGGATGGGGTTTTCCTTCTGCCATCATGCATGGGGGACAAGGTCCAGGAACGGGGGGACAACGCCAGGGATGGAGGGACAACGTCCAGGGATGGGGGGGACAACGTCCAGGGATGGAGGGACAACGTCCAGGGGAGGAGGGACAGCATCCTGGGATGGGGGGGACAATGTCCGGGCGTGGAAGGACAGTGTCCAGGGGAGGAGGGACAGCATCCTGGGATGGGGGGACAATGTCCGGGCATGGGGGGACAATGTCCGGGCATGGAAGGACAGTGTCCAGGGGAGGAGGGACAGTGTCCGGGGATGGAGGGACAATGTCCGGGGATGGAGGGACAATGTCCAGGGATGGGGGGGACAATGTCCAGGGATGGAGGGACAACGTCCAGGGGAGGAGGGACAGCATCCTGGGATGGGGGGACAATGTCCGGGCATGGGGGGACAATGTCCGGGCATGGAAGGACAGTGTCCAGGGGAGGAGGGACAGTGTCCGGGGATGGAGGGACAATGTCCGGGGATGGAGGGGCAGCATCCAGGGACAGTGGTCCATTGCCCTGTGATGGTGGCCCCTCATCCACGCACATCCCAGTCCCTTACTGGGGTCACAGCCAGGCCCTGTGGCCACTCCTCCACTGCCCCCCTCCCCAGCCTCACCCTCCCTGTGCCCCACAACAGACCTGGGAACCTCGGGTGGGATCCCGCTGATCCCTCCCAGAATCCCAGCAGGATTGGGATCCCGCAGATCTGGGTGGGATCCCATTGATCCTCCCAGAATCCCAATGGGATTGGGATCCCGCTGATCTGGATGGGATCCCATTGATCCTCCCAGAATCCCAACGGGATTGGGATCCCGCTGATCTGGGTGGGATCCCATTGATCCTCCCAGAATCCCAATGGGATTGGGATCCTGCTGATCTGGGTGGGATCCCATTGATCCTCCCAGAATCCCAACAGGATTGGGATCCCGCTGATCTGGATGGGATCCCATTGATCCTCCCAGAATCCCAACAGGATTGGGATCCTGCTGATCTGGGTGGGATCCCATTGATCCTCCCAGAATCCCAACGGGATTGGGATCCCGCTGATCTGGGTGGGATCCCACTGATCCTTCCAGAATCCCAACAGGATTGGGATCCCGCTGATCTGGGTGGGATCCCATTGATCCTCCCAGAATCCCAATGGGATTTGGATCCTGCTGATCTGGATGGGATCCCATTGATCCTCCCAGAATCCCAACGGGAGTGGGATCCCGCTGATCTGGATGGGGTCCCATTGATCCTCCCAGAATCCAAATGGGATTGGAATCCCACTGATCTGGGTGGGATCCCATTGATCCTCCCAGAATCCCAGCAGGATTGGGATCCCGCTGATCTGGATGGGATCCTGCTGATCTGGGTAGGATCCCATTGATCCTTGCAGAATCCCAATGGGATTGGGATCCTGCTGATCTGGATGGGATCCTGCTGATCCTTCCCAAAATCTCCATTTCATTGGAATCCCGCTGATCCCTCCCAGAATCCCACCTGGACCAGGAACCCCCTACCCCCTCCAGGCCTCGTCTCCTCTGGGTTCACAGCGTCCCCTCCCCTGCTCCGAGTCTGAGCACCAACAAAAACCTGTCTTAATTCCTGCTTTATTTATTAATTACCGTGTGTGAGGAGTCCTAATTTATTTCCTCCCGTTTTCCATGGAAATTTGGGATGTGCCCAAGGTTTTTCCCCCGCCGCCTCCCAAGCTCGTAGTGGGAATTCCCTGCCTGGAGACCTTGTGGATTTTGCCGTGCTGGTGCTCCAGGGTTATTTATTAGCCACTATTTATTTAATTTATTTCCCTCACCACCTGATTTTTTTTTTTTTTTTGCTGGTGATAAACCCCAATATTTCCATATTTAATGCCAAACTCGGTATTTAATGGCCATCCCATGGATTTGGGATCCTGCCAACAGCTCCCAACTCCTCTGTGCATTTTGAGACGAGCAATAACTTTTAAATGCTATGCAACGATTTTATTTTTTTTGCTTCTCAAAGAAAATCCACACCACTATTTTTGATGCCCCTGGCCAGCCCGGTTGGCCTAATCTCCCTGGTTTTGTATAAAGTTGGGAATTTGGAGATGATTTGAGGTCCCTGCCCAGCCCCCGGGTCCTGGGGCTTCTTCCCTTTTGTACTGAAAATGTTTTATCCTTTTGTAAAGAGAGCAGATTTGGGGTTTTTAGCTCAAATAAAGTCGTGGTCTTGTTTCAAGCAGCTTCGCCCTGGGGCTGTTGTGTCCTTTTTTGGGGGGCTGGGGTGAGGGTGGGGGGCTGCCAGAGGATCCAAGCCCCTTGTGCTGGGGTCCAGCGGGGACCCCTGACCTTGGAGTGGGGGTCTGTGGGACTGGGGGGATTTGGGGTCCCAGGAAATGGGGCACAATGCAGCCCTGGGGGTCCCAGGACTGATTTGGGGCGCCAGGAAATGGGGTTCAGGACAACCCTGGGGGTACCGGGGGGATTTGGAGCCCCAGGAATGGGGGTTCAGGACAGGCCTGGGGGTACCGGGGGGATTTGGGGTCCCAGGAATGGGGGTTCAGGACAAGCCTGGGGGTACCGGGGGGATTTGGGGTCCCAGGAATGGGGGTTCAGGGCAGCCCTGGGCATATTGGGGAGATCTGTGCTACCAGGAAATGGGGCACAATGCAGCCCTGGGGGTCCCAGGACTGATTTGGGGCGCCAGGAAATGGGGTTCAGGACAACCCTGGGGGTAGCGAGGCATTTGGGGAGCTGAGATTTGTCCCGGTTGCGGCACGGAGGGGACACGGCCGTCCTGACTTCACCCCGCTCCTCCCCCGGCTCCCCCCGTCCCTCCCCAGCTGCGCCCCGACCCCTCGGCAGCGTCTGGCGGCGGTGGGGGCGGGTCCCCCCCGTGTCCCCCCGTGTCCCCTCGTGTCCCCTCTCGCGGGGACCCCTCTCGCGTCCCTCCCGCTGTCCCCCGGCCCCGCGCCGGCTGTGCCGAGCCCGGGGGAGCCGCCGCCGCTCGGCCCCGCAAGCTGCGCCCGGCTCGGGCTGAGGGCGGGGGGCTCTCCGGGGGCCCCCGCAGCTGCAGCCGGGCCGGGGGGGCCCTGCGGGGCCGCTCCGAGCGAGAACCGGGCCGGGAACGGGAGGGGGGCGGGGGGGACCTCGTGTGTCCCCAAAAAAAGGGATTTAGGGACGGGGATGCGCCTAGCAGGGGTGGAACTGCCTGGGGTGGACCTGGCTGGACTGGATTTACCTGGGAGGGGGCTCGGCCTGCCCCGCTCCGGGGGAGCTGGGAGGAACACGCGACACCAGCGTGTCACCCAGCCGAGTGTGCCAGGAGGGACACAAACGGGGAGCGTGACACAAACGGGGAGTGTGACACCAACACCGGGCTGGGACACGAACCTTGGGCTGTGACACAAACGGGGGGCTGTGACACAAACGGGGGCTGTGACACAAACTGGGGGCTGTGACACAAACTGGGGCTGTGACACAAACCCCAGACTGGGACACGAACCTCAGACTGGGACAAAAACCCCGGGCTGTGACACAAGGCCCGGGCTGGGAGACCCCCCGGGACCCCCCCCACGCACCCACAGCTCCGTGCCGGGCACCCCCACGCCCCCCTCGCACCCCTCGGTGGCATCGGGACCCCTCCCCAGCCATGTCCTGGGAGCCCTGGGCTCAGGGCAGCGGCCGCTGCCGCCGGGCCGAGAGTCCAGCTGTGCCCCCGGCCCCCCCGGCCCCTCTCCCGCTGGCCGGTGGCCAAGCCCCGCTCGGTGCCAGCTCCCCCGGGCACGCGTGTGCCCGACAGCCGGGGCAGCGCCCTTCCAGCAGCCCCGGCCCGTGCCAGCAGGGCAGGAGCCGTGCCAGGCCCGCGCTGCCAGGGCACAGCTGGCCCCCGGCTCGAGCCGGGGGGGACACGGGGCACCCGGGGGTGGCGGTGTCCCCCGTGTCCCCGCAGGACACCGGGGCGGGGGGGTGGCACTGCTGAGGAGCTGAGGATGGGCGAGATCACTGTGCCCAGCCAGGGGGCCGTGGGGAGGGTCCCTCGTCCCCTCTGGGGGTCCCTGGACAACCCACAGCCCCCCCAGGTGTCCCACAGGTGAGGGGACGTGGGGCAGGTGGGGTCAGGGGCAGCTTCCCCTCTCATTCCACCTGGGGAATTCTTGGGAGGGGCGTTGGGGGGTCCAGCCCTGGCCAAAGACACCCCGACCCATGGAGGGACTCCCTGACCCATGGAGGGACACCCTGACCCATGGGGGGACTCCCTGACCCATGGAGGGGACACTGACCCATGGAGGGACACCCTGACCCATGGGGGGACTCCCTGACCCATGGGAGGGACACCCTGACCCATGGAGGGGACTCCCTGTCCCCCTCCCCCCGTTTGGGACCAGCCCCCAGCCCCGGGGGTCTCGGCTCGGCGTCGCCCTGGTTTCCCCGGCAGGGTGGGGCTGCCCAGGGCTGGATAATTGCTAAGCCCCCCTAAAGCCCGGCTTTCAGGGCTGTAATTCTGA